CTATCTATCTATCTATCTATCTATCTATCTATCTATCTATCTATCTATCTATCTATCTATCTATCTATCTATCTATCTATCTATCTATCTATCTATCTATCTATCTATCTATCTATCTATCTATCTATCTATCTATCTATCTATCTATCTATCTATCTATCTATCTATCTATCTATCTATCTATCTATCTATCTATCTATCTATCTATCTATCTATCTATCTATCTATCTATCTATCTATCTATCTATCTATCTATCTATCTATCTATCTATCTATCTATCTATCTATCTATCTATCTATCTATCTATCTATCTATCTATCTATCTATCTATCTATCTATCTATCTATCTATCTATCTATCTATCTATCTATCTATCTATCTATCTATCTATCTATCTATCTATCTATCTATCTATCTATCTATCTATCTATCTATCTATCTATCTATCTATCTATCTATCTATCTATCTATCTATCTATCTATCTATCTATCTATCTATCTATCTATCTATCTATCTATCTATCTATCTATCTATCTATCTATCTATCTATCTATCTATCTATCTATCTATCTATCTATCTATCTATCTATCTATCTATCTATCTATCTATCTATCTATCTATCTATCTATCTATCTATCTATCTATCTATCTATCTATCTATCTATCTATCTATCTATCTATCTATCTATCTATCTATCTATCTATCTATCTATCTATCTATCTATCTATCTATCTATCTATCTATCTATCTATCTATCTATCTATCTATCTATCTATCTATCTATATATATATATATACACACACACACACACACACACATACAATATTATAAAAACAGTATGTATGCAGCACACTCATGACGTATCCCTTTACTTCAGATGGGAACTAAGCAAAAGTCATATTTTTTCTTTCAGTTTTATGAAAAGCATCACCTTTCCCCACACCAAAAGCTTCTCCTCAGTAAAAATGAAATAAGCCCTCATTAATTATCCAGTTCATTAATCAGTCGCAAGTGAAGAGGATTTGCTTGCAATTTGCAAAATGACAAAATCTAGCCCTTCAAAAAAAAAAAAAACCCTTGAAATGGCTTTAAACACTAATGGATGATCGAGTAAAATGGTTTTCAAGCAATGCATTTAATCACAGCAACCCAATGTAAAGTGTATTAAATATTATATAGTGGCCATATGTTTATGCCATCTGTTCATGTGAATGGATTTGTAAACAGTTATTTACTGTTAGTAAATCTATCTATCTATTTGAAGGCCATTATTTGGGGCTAAAGTCAACATCGATTTTTATGTTTACAAGATTTTTTCATCATTTAGAAATGACTGTGAGGCCATTTAATTACTGTCAGTGGATAGAGTCATACAATCACTAAGACGCAATACTATTTGGGAAAAAAAAAACAAAAGGCATAATTACTTTTCAGTTTTTTTTTCATTTAGTATGAAAAGATGAAAACGTTTCCACATTTACAAAAATAAATACATAAAAAAATCAGGAGAACTTTAAAGATCAAGCGTGAAGTAAACTTGGCCAACCATTTTTTTGGAGTAATGCTTGGGGGCTCAGTCTATTTCCTGCATACTTTCATTATTTATTTATTAACGCAAGCCACCCAGGTTCATATTTAGACCCATAGCAACACTCTTAACTACGAAAAAGCTTTTGTTTGGCAATCTCCGGCGAGTGACGTCATTTACATTGTTGATTGTCCCGTTAACTGCTCTTTGCCATAGTTATCGAGGTATTCGACGAAATGCCTCGGCGCCGTGTGGCAATGCACTGTTCACATTCAGGCAACCAGTAGTTTGAGTGGCCAAAAGAAAAGAATAGGGCACATATATGGACCAGAAAATTGACACAATACAGCTTCATTCTCAGAAAGTGGATGAATTTCACCCTGGTGACGACGAGCATTCTTTTGTTTCAAGCACTTAGATGATCTCAACCGGATTTCCAAAAAAAGGGTGGTATGTTAATCATTGAATAACTCTCAAATTAGGGTGTGTTACATTTCGTCTCTAACAGTTGTCGTCGGCCTTCACAAATGGCGCTGTCATTGACAAGTTCACATTCAGTCTTAACCCCATGGGGGATCTATGGATAATTTAATGGCAGCGATTTCAAAAGGAACATGGGGCATGACGAAACAACGACATAAAAACACGCAGCGAGCAGAACACTATCTGTCATATACAACTTCCAAAGTTTTGTGGTGAAAAAAAACATGTCATTGTTATGCAACCTGCAAATTTTGTATTGCTAATGAACAAAAACATTTTCCTTTCTCTAATTCCCTTTCTTATGCAGGCACATTATGGAAGAAAAACATGAACCATTAGAGGTTCCACAAAGAATGACAGTCTGGCATCTCTAATTTAAAACTGTGTGTACTGTATGTGTCAAGGTCAGAATGATCAGGACACTGCAATAAGGTAGCTTTTTTTTCCCTTCCGAAAGTGGAGGACAACCCTCGCATCGCTATCTCCTGCAGGCGACGTTGCCCATGTCATCCTTATGTTTAATTCATGTGAGTCATATTATGGCATTCACAAAGTCAGATCAAAATCTGCTCTGGCAGAAATATTTAATATTATAGCTGCTTCTTTACCCTTCTCCGTCTGGTTTGCTCGACAGACTCCTTCACATGCATCCGTGTTGGATTATTAAAAGTGAAGCTTTCAAAGGGGTCACTGCTCAGGGAAAAAAAAAAAAGAAAAAAAGATTCAGTGTTGCATGCATCAATTATCCTGGAGGATTTGTGGCATACTGAAGACCGTCTTGTCACACTTCCCCATACGGCTGTGAGGTCATTGGCTGGAAGCTGACATTTAGTAGCAAGTGAATTGTGGAAATCCCAAAAAAAGGACAAAAGAGCAGACTGACTGCTTGCAAAGGGCCTTCAGGCTTGAAATTCCTTCTCAATGTCATTGGCAGAGCTCGACACAAGCATCCCGCTCTGCTGCTCTTATTTTTCATGTCAGAGCAACTCATGCTGATCAATACACAGTTTACTGGTATTGCTTCGGGGTGGGGTATATGGCTGGATGTGGGTGTGTGTGGACATAGTAGTACTGTAATTGCAATAAGTCGCCTTAAACATAGCCCACTTGTCCAATCTTGGACGGGAATGCTCTTTCAGCATTATTTTACATCACCACTGCGCGACAGAGGTGGCGTGATCGCATTGCATGACACCACTGAACCACTAAGTAACACTTTAAAGTCAGAAAGAAGCGTCTGACGCCCCCCATTGCTCAAAGTCAAACTGCAATGTGCGCTCAAGATCGGCACTAATTATGTACTGAATGGACACTTAAATCAAATAGTTGTGGCGTCAAAGAGTATCTAAGCGTATCTAAGCATCAGATTCAAGTGATGTTTTGTTCATCAGGTAATTGTGCTTTAGCTTTACAAAGAGCATACGGACACAAATCAGGAATGATATTTGGACAACATAGAACGGATTCGGGCAATGTCTGTCCTTCACACTAACAGAAAGGACAAAAAACAATGAGAAACTGTTTTTGCATAAGACGTAATGGCACCACAACATTTGTGTCTTCTAGTTCTAGTTTGCTTTACAGCAGCTAGCCCGAATTGGTGATACGGCGCTGCTTTTACTTTTCTTTTATTTAACGCACACAAGTTCGAAGATGGAGAACAAGGGAGGCTAAATCGCGGTGCCTGAAATAGAGGATGCATCTTTATCAGACAGTCCCATGCAAGCCGAGAGGCACTGGTACATCTTTGGCTTGCTTACATTTTGGGTTCAGGAAGTCCAACGCAGAGCACCAAATGGGCGTACGTAAACTACTACTGTCATACAAAGGCCCCCTGCTCTGATGCAACACAACAAATCTCTCCCATCATATAGTTCATAGCTCATCCCATCATAAAAATCCCATCCTAAAAAAATGACAAGAGCACATGTACTCACAATTTTAAACATGAGAGTCAACAAAGATATCAATGAACCAGTTGGGGTAAAATGTGAAAAGAAAAACCAAAGTCATCTAGGAATATAGAAATATTTTGGGAGAGTCACTCTGTATGATTATACTTAATTTGAATCATTCATATTGCTCGTTGTGTTTGCATGAGGAGGATGTAGATTTCTGGAACTTGAAACAGAATGTCGATGTTTGTTTTTATTTTGATATCGTTGCAATGTTTGCACTGTAATATTGTGTACTCTCAACTACTGCTCTGGCTGCACTCCAAGCATACAGATTTCACAATCGTAGAACAGAGCGTTTGTGTTTGTTTTCAGAGCACTGCCACTTTTGCACAATGTATTTTGGTACTGTTGATCTTCTGCTCTGGCTGCACTATGAAGCTACAGCTATCCGAAACTTGAAAGTGTGCACTTTGAAAAGCGATTTTCTGTGATTTTATTTTATGACTGAAAATGTCTGACATTTTATTTTTATGCTTCTTATTTAGATTGATATCTACGTTAACATCTATGTAAAAAGAAACATCTGCTTTTTTAATGAACTGTTGTTGTACGCTGAAAACAATGTATTTTCTCATCCAGTACAAAAAAAAATAAAAAATCGACAGAAATTACAGAACATAAGCCCGAACAACGCTGTGTGTAAACCGGAATATTGCTGATTCATGGCAGACTTTCTTGTACAACATACCGAGTGGGACTTTTGTGAGAACTTTCAAACTGGTCAAGTGTATTGGTGAGCAGGCTTGGACAGTTTGAGACACCAAGTAATAGGACACGACATAAGGTTTTGTAATTTTTTTTTTTCCTTCCTGCATTCATTGGTTGAACAGAAATAGAATTTACCAAATATCTCAGAATAAGAATAAGTGTCCATCTGTCAATTATGAAATCATAGGCGTAATCTCATCTCATGACCTACATCACTTATAAAGCAAGACTCCACACAAGCCCTCATCCGCAACTCTTTCGCTCTGCTCCCAAACTCCCAGCGCGCCTTGCCGGCATCTTTGTAGAGAAGTGACGCACCTTTGTTCATGTCAATCAGCTTCTTCTTCTTCTGCTGGCGCTCCTGCTTCTCGCGCTCTGCTTTTTCCTTCGCTAGCCTGGCTCTCTTGATCTTCTCCTCGATCTCTCTCTTTTTGTGGTTCTCCTTCACGGCTTCCTGATGAGGAAACGCGCACGTGCGTGCGCACACACATGCACACGCGCACACACACACACACACACACACACACACACACACACACACACACACACACACACACACACACACACACACACACACACAGATGAATTCTGACTTCTGCCACCACTCTTTGAGTGTCGTTTTCAGAAACTGCAACTTGCCATCAGCGGAAAATGTGTATTCCGAGATGGATTGAAAATAAGATGCCGGAATCAACAATAAATCATTTCAAGTGTATGAGCACTTTTTTGGGAGGGGTGGGGTGGGATACAAGGTTATATAATCTATGAGGCATCTGCTCTACTTTACATATTTACATAGACGGAGGAGAGTTCATACACTGGCAACAATGAATGAAAAATATGGCAGTTTTGAAGGCATATCATCATATCGATTAATAAACCCACAAAGGTTCAGGCAAGCCACATATTTTTTTAATTTCTACAAATTTTAGTAGATGTTAAATTCTGATTTTAGTATGAATATGCTCCACTTTATTTGCCTTGAAAAGATTTTTCACAGAAAAGTATGTAAATGATTAAGTGCAGTGCAAAAATAAATTCTTCATACCGCTGTTCAATGTTAGGTTTTTGTGATGTAACAAACTAAGACCACCATGAATTGTTTCAAAACGTTATACAATATTAATGCCACCCTGTCCAACATAATTGCATTGTATTTAGAATAATTTCCAAGAGGGACAAATGAAAACAAATGACTGAAATACTGTGGTTGCATACGTTTGTACACTCCAACCGGCATGTGACTGTTTTCAGAATCAACCAAGCACTTTTGCACTCATTTGAAATGGGAGTCACCGCATACCTGCCACCATTTAAAGTGCCTCTCATTGCCCCCACTTCAGTTTGCTCTTGTAGGCTTTTTTTGCTTTTGTTTTCTTTGTAGCAGAAGTCTCAAAGCGTTCTGGGTAACATTGACTGCTACTTTCAACTGTTTATGATTCTGTCCACCTAGTATAAGGCCCTGAGTCCAACTGAAGAAAAACAACCCTAAAACATGATGATGTCAAAAGCATGCTTCACTTCAGGTATGGTGTTCTTTTGGTAATGAGCAGTGTTTTGCTTGCACCAAACAAACCTATAGCCAAAAAGGTTCTGGGTTTTATTGGAACATAAAAAAAAATCTCCTGCATACACAGGAGTAAATGCTTTGATTGGAAGAAAATCGTCAAGTGCCGGACATTATTGAAAAATAGTCATACATTTATAAAACGATGTTGACATTTTACAGGTAGTAAAAATAAATAAATAAATACATCTCAATTTCACAATCACTTTTTGTTATTATTTCCATTTGAGAGCATTAAAAGGCAGTCAGCAAATGGATGTGACAGGAAAACAAAATGACATGAAATCCACCATCTATGTAGGAGCCTGACAATTGAGGGCTTTATAACAGATCATTTTCTTAAAAAAAAAAAAAAAAAATCGATGTATAACCTGCAACACAAATTGTCCCTGCATGCTGCTGCCATCATGTTTAATTAAAGTTAAGACCTAGCGTTATTGCTTTCACGTCTTAATACTTACACAAGTTGACTTATTTTTACACATTTATGACAATGTAAAAAAAAAAAAAATCCTCCAAGCAGGAGATGGCACGAGGCTGTGAGGTATTAACTAAACTATTTTAAAAATGATGGCTACACATGTCATAATGCAGTACACCATGCCACGATGTGTGAAAAGAAAAGAAAATGGAGCAGCCGTTGCAGAGCGTCAAGCCGTCTCGGTGGAGTGAGGAGGAGATATCTTCCTGCTGCTCCTTCGTGACCGGCCCAAATGTCAGGAAGGAGTCAGAGGCAGCTAGATAATCAACAGGAGCAATTCAGCCTTTACAAATGTGTCAGTTTGTTCTTGTGCCAACACCGAGCAAGATGCAACTATGTGACCTTTGGAGACAAACAAGATGTGTTTGCTTCTCATCACGGAGCTGAGCTGGTGCAGACTGAGACCGCACCCATCGCAGATACCAGAGGCCTATGTGGATTTAGTTGTGACAGCTCTTTCATCGGATGCAATCTCATGAGATCAAATACATAAATCTGCCTTCACAAAGATAGCAATGCTCAAACTTGATGGACACGGTCAGAAATGACTTTTATATTACAGTACTTTTAGTAGTGTGGTTGTCGTTTGCAATGAAAAGAGAGCTCTATGTAGCTCGCTAGCTAACAATGGCAGCCGCAGTGAAAGTGTTCATGAAGTTTTGTAGGCTAATGTTTCCCGAAAGGTCCCCTTTCTTCTCTTGCATGTTAACATGCTGTCTTTGGCTTGCATGACTAAACAGCATCGTTGAAGTTAAGTTCACAAATTGCCGCCGCGTCTCAACAGACCGTGCTATTATTTTATCACACAGTGTGTTTCCAGTCACCCCTTCTCTATATTGTGCTCTATTTATTTTTTAACCACACACCCGTAAAAAATAGGTTAAACATTGTTTACTGCTGTTGCTGCAATTGATTAATTGCATTTGCATTCATTTTAAAGGAACATTACTTCGGTCTGCCAATCTCTCAGAAAGGGCTAGGTAAAATTTCATTACAAAATTGGCACTATCTAGTCTGAATGTAACTGATATATGCTTTTCAGGCCTACTGTAAAGTTGGAAAGTGTGTTTCTTTTTATATTTATTCACACTTTTTTGGTATAATTTCCTGTAGATTCCAATGAGAACACACTTAGCCCAATCTTTACACAGACATTATGTGTGATGACACTTGCCCAACCTGGCCTGATTCTCACACCCAGCATGGTCCTGATGAATGTGTGTGTGTGTTAACATCTAAGACACGAGGATTACAGGGATTGCAATGGAAAAAAAATGTGAAATAAGGTGGAACTGTGGTATATAAGTGAATAAATGTGTGTGCAGAGTTCAAATTGGCTCAGCAGTAAACTTTTTTTTTTTTAATAATGAGTGACTTAAAGTGTCTATGAAATAAGGTGCCTGCAGTTTACTACCCTGTTTTTTTTTTCCTGATGGGAAAGAGAGGGTGTCTATTTGGGTAAGTCATTCATGCCTTATGTAGAAGACACATTTGGTGATTGATGTGAGCATGGATTCTGTTAGACCGACATCACTGTTTGAGAAAATATGGTAGTCATGATGCATACAGTCATTTAGTGTATCGCTAATTTTGGGTCTCCTAGATTTACGTCATTTAAAAAGCATTGTGATGTGTCTGCAACACCACATTGCTCGAAAGAAAATCTACAACAGAAAACGATTCATAAATTATGCAGATTACAAACGGAAAAAAAAAAATACTGCTGGCAAAAGTGATCTAAAGCAAACAACTAATTGTGACTGTAAACACGATTATGCAACAGAGCGACATTACTCTAATTAAGTGGAACCCGTAATTACCATAGCAGCACTTACCATTCGGACTGATATTTTCCCCTGTAATGGTCCCTTTGATGGTCTTTATTTTATGTTAGGGATCTTGGCAACACTATACAGTATGTTGTAGGGGGTAAGATACTGCATGTACCTCAATAATTAGACCAGTGGCTATATTTCATACCTCACTGAAATGTAGTAATGTCACACATGCTTGAGTTGGGGTGCACTGATTTCAAAATCAAAAACATGTATATGGTTTGGTTTTATCTCTTGAGATGTATGTTGAGATTATGAAAGTAACATATTTACAGAATGACATCAGTGTACCTTGGAAAATAACTCAAAGCTGTTGGTCCCTAAGTGGGGATGATCACGATAGTTGCAGTCATCTGCAGTGAGAAGACATTCAATGTAATGAATATGACATCAATAAGTTGGATTAGTTACAAGTGCCAAACACATTTAAAACGGCGTGTTGATAGGACTGACTTCTGATAAAGTGGCTTCATCATTCCACGTCAGAGGTCAGACTCCTGAGCATGACACGTTTACATTTAATGATCCAAAATTGATTTATTGATAGGGTGCAACAGTGACCGTTTTTGTATAGCTTTAACTGATTTATTTTAAGGATTAGAGGTGTTTAAAAGCTCACACAAATGTTTACAGTCTTGTTTTTGGTAGACTGTGCGGACTGAAAGTGTAATTTTTAAACCCAGAAAAGAGTTTTGTAAATTGCCCAAAGCTAATAATTGCTGTACTCATGCTGTAAACTTGGGTCGGCACTATTGTATACTGAAGACGAAAGTGGCCCGTTTCAACTCATTAACTGTAAACCAATTAAAAAAAAAAGACTTATTTCGTACATGATTTGTGCATCATGTTTATCAACTTTGCGAGTGCATAAAACAGAAAAAAATAAACAAACAAAAAAACAAAACACTACAACCAAGTCAAAGTCCAGATTTGAATCCAATTGTGATGCTGTGGTGTGACCTTGGCAGTTCATACTTGAAAACCCTCCAATATGGAGGATTTGAAGCAATTCTGCGATGAAGAGTGGGCCAAAATTCCTCCACAGCGATGTGAAAGACTCATCACCAATTATCGCAAATGTTTGAGTTGATGCCCAGGGTGGCACAGCCCATTTGTTGGTTCAGGGGGCAATTACTTTTTCAATTAGGGACAGGTAGGTTTGGATTTTTTTTTTTTTTTTTTGTGTGTCGAAATGATTCAAATTGGCATTTAGAAACTGCATTTTGCATTTCCCTGGGTTGTTGCTGTGTCATATTAAAATTGGTTTGACTGAAAACTTTATATGTGTAAATATGCACAAAACACAGAAATCAGCAAGGGGACAAATACTTTTTCACGGCACTGTAAACCCAATAATAAGTAGGCCTACTAAATGTAACATGTCCATAGCTTTAACTGTTGTCGTTCTATCTTTGATATTGGTCAACTTTCACATGATATATTCCTTGGGATTTTAAGGAGAATCAGTGCGTACTGTTGAATTAGTATGCAGGACTGCATGGTAAATTTAGTAAGATGCAGATAGGTGCATCAGTCACAGAACTGTAAACTCCAGTAAACTATCCGCGTTTTTGGGGAACATTTGGAAGACCTGGAAAGGGCTCAACATCATCCACAGTCAATCATCAAGTGGAGTTCCACCGAATGTTTCTGGTGATTCTGCTGACAGCAGGGACCTCAATCATACATTTGCTAATGGAAAAGTACAACCAAAGCATTTTTTGGGGGGCGTTGGGGGGGATGGCCCAAGGTTAAACATAGCTTCTCCGGAACATAATGGAAAAATGAGCTCTGTAGCGCTTACCTAATCCTGCTCAAACAAACACACTTACGCTTGCAAAAAAAAAAAAAAAAAAAAAAAAAAAATGGCGGTAAATATGAGGGATTGAAGAAAAGGTCAGATGTGTGGTTAACGTGTAAAAGCAAAGGATTTGTCACTTGCAATAACCTCCCAAAGCTGCCAAAGTGATTTGTGGCCACAAATTTCCCATAGGCATGCAGTGTTTTATGACAAGTTCTGTGCCCCGGGTCCCCTCCTGTGGAAAGAAGCGGAATCAGGTGCAAGGGGGCTGCAGTCCCAATTGCTCACACAGCTTGCACATGCAGACTGAGAGGTCCGTAAAGGAGCACCTACATGCAGCTTCAACTGGTCAACAACACATGCACTTGTGGCCTCTGGCGGAGAGTCGAAGTGCTACTTGTTTCCCAACCTGTGCACTGTGCCACCTAAAGGTCAACCAAAGCCATTTTTTTTTTTTTTTTTTGCTTCCGTGACCCCGTACAGAGCACAGTACATCTTCTTTTTACTCGTCCATTGAGGGTTGATATTCCAACTGCTCCATGTGATCTCACCCCATAATGTCATCACTCTGGCTCATTTGAATTTTTACAAACTAGAAAGCGCCTGGTCTTTAAGCAGAAAATGTGTTTAATAGCCATCTGTTTCTTACACTGTGAGCCAAGATATGTTGTGTTTCTGTTGATGTGTGAGTGTGTGGAAAATCTTGTAGAAGTGATGTACTGGATCACAGATTGTTATATTGATAGGGTATATCCAAATATGTGTTGAAATATACAAACTCTGGCAGTAATTGTTTTAACCTTTGAAAACATTTTTTGGGGAATGTATTCACTTAGCCCGTTGGTCGACTGGTTCGCGCGTCGGCTTCACAGTGTAGAGCTGCAAAGTTCGATTCCAGCTCAATAAATGCCTTCTTCGGGTTGAAATATGTTGTATATATGTGTGTGTGTGTGTGTGTGTGTGTGTGTGTGTGTGTGTGTGTGTGTGTGTGTGTGTGTGTGACAGAATCATCTTCAACGAGTTTTATCTTGATAATGTGTCATATTGGGAAAGAATATGCCAGCTTTTAAATGAGCGGCTCAGCACGGAATGGGGCATGAATTGGATACACGAAACATAGAAATCATCATTTTAATCTGTGCGAGATGCTCTAACGTGCTACTTTGCAAACCCACTCTGGTTCTTTTGGACTTATTTGAAAGTCACTCAATTAACAAGAAAGACTGTTCGCTCATCCCAGCCCATCTGCTGTGCTTTGATAACTCATTAATGGGAAAAATCCTCATCCCCAATGCTCCTGGTCAGGATTACGCATGCAGACCCAGCCACTGCAATTCGCTCGCCTCCTGAATATGGCAGCCGCATTAAATGAACAAATTCATACTTGTGTGTGTGTGTGTGTGTGTGTGTGTGTGCGCGCGCGCGCGCCGAAATAAATATTTCTCTGGCCGCACAGCAAAGGATGACAGGAACATGAAACAGAAGGAAAATGAAGTTCATGGATTCTATTATTGGTTACATTCGCTTTTGTGAGGACCACAGTGTCAATGCAGTAAAGACTCATGTCCATAAGGAGCAAGTTTGAAGGACTGTCAGACTGTATTGGCCATGTTTTGTCCCAGCAGTCCATTTTTAGCATTCACACTTTTGATTTTCACCTTTGCTGAAGAAAAACATGTTCAGATTCGAAAAACATTCTGGTAGGGTGAGCCACTTGGTCGGCAGTCTGTCAATCAGGATTTGGCTCGACGATGGTACGAGATGATTTGAAAAACAGCTATGCACCAAAAAACACAAAATGTCTTTTAGGAACCAAGAAGGATGAAAGCAGAGATCAAATGCTGTGGCTTTTAGTCGTTTCCATAGGAAAGCCTGAGTAAAATTGAGCAAACAGCGACTGCTCCAGGGCAGTCACCATTATGTGCAACCCCCTCATATTGTTTATGCTAAATGGCTGCAGCATGTCGCGTGCCATAACTAATTGTCAGAAGAAAACATATTTATTTTTCCTTTCCCATAATAAATGATGCCCATTTTTTTCTTTGACCTACAACATTTTCACAGAAATATATATACTTTTTAAACTCAAATTTATTTTCTTGTTTTAACAACCCCTTAAACCGAGGGCAACTTTGCCGAAAACGGCTGTGGAAAGGTGCACCCAAAGTCAATTTTTAGCTATTCTTGAACCATTTGGAATATCAGCATAGTTTTGGTCACTTTTTGAAATATTCAAAATGTCACATTATGAATATTTCTCCCATACAGTAAGGATTTGTGTAAGTGCTCCTGTCACTGAACTATGGATGTTTGAAAACAGAAGAAAAAGGCGAATCTTATATTCGTCTAATTTTCTTTTCACAATATCTGCCTTGAAAATGGATTTAGAATGTTGTTTAGGCCTTGAAAACGCTACAGGATCAAAGCTTAAGTCTCCCCAAGCTTCGGTTCAAATTTGACAATTGTAACATGTAGGGTACCATTCAAATCTCCAGAAACTCAGCTTTTAAAAGATGTACAACATGTTCACACATGACGACGTGCATCAGCGATTTGTTTTGACTGATGATGGAGGGCCCCGTACGGGGCCGTCCTACGCAAAGTTTTGGTCACATTCATTTCATGATTCATTTGTTTTATTTCATCTTTTAAATTTGTACATATATCCATCCTGAAAAGTATCACAGGAGGCTGCTGGAGCCTGTCCCAGCTGACTTCAGGCGGAAGGCAAACTACACCCTGAACCAGTCAGCAGTCAGTCAAAGGGGAGAGATGGAGACAAACAACCATTCACACCCACATCCACACCGTCACTGGGTGGGAACCGATCCCACGCTGCCCGCACACAAGTCCAGTGAGTGTAGCACTACATCATCAGCGACTTTATGTATCTCGGAGAGAGGGGAAGATGATCACATTATTGTTATAATTTCTTTTTTCTTTCTTTTAACATAAATCCATTACCTTATAAGCAACACTTTGCCCCTATTTTCAGACATTTTAGTCACACGGTAACCCCGTGGCCCGCTCACAATATCCTCCCCCCTTATTCATAGCAGGGAAGTTGAAATCAGTAATAAAATATTCATATGCAGCTATTTGCTTGAGAGAATAATTTATTTTCTTGGGTGGATGCCTCTTTTAGAGACATGCAACAAGGGAAGCCTTGAGGGAGCGGAGTGTTGTGTGCAGTTACACTTTGATGGTGGGGAGGGGGGTTGGAGGAGGGCGGGAAGATGAAAAGTTGGTCTCAGATGGGGATCAGAGTGAAGAGAGGAGAAGGATTCAGACAAGACGACCTTGGTGTTGTTAATGGGGAGTAAAGACAGCATGGGAGAATGCCTTGTGGACGCCGTTGCTTCCTTCCTGACAATTTTGGGAGGCTGCCAATGCCACTGAGGAGATCAAATATATGTTTAATCTACTCATCAACCAAGGGAGTAATTATTGTGCTTTTTGCTGTTGTTGTTGTTCTGCAATGAAGTACTATTTACCTTACTACAACAAAATATTTTCCTTCTTCACTGCCTATTATTTATGTGAATCCCAGTGCCTCATGTTGTGCATTGAGAACACAGGTATTTGTTTTCATATTTATTATTATTACTCTCTGGTGTTGCTGCTGCAATAACCTGAATTTCCTCCATTGTGGGAAGAATAAAAGCTGACGCTTTCCCTACAAAGAGTGGCCAATCGGCGTTTAGTGACTCACACAGATAGAAAGGGGCACTTTTGGAAGAATATTAGATGCCATGCATTATGCTTAATGTCAAGGCAAGAACAACAAAAATATAAAGGTGTGATGTGGAGTAATTGTTCTAAAATGTGCCATTTTCAAAGAACATACAAGTGCTCACGCTCTTCGATTCATCTCACGTTTATGTGCTATGGTAGTCCTGTTATGAAAATTACCATTTTTTTTTCCCACTCCTTACTCGCTCTACTGCTTTGATTTTGTGCCAACATTTGGTTTTAAAGTTTTGTAGTGTTGTTTGGAATTTGTGAGTTTGCACATTCACACAAAGCCTGATCAGGTATTGTCATGTACATTTGGAAGATTATTTTGCAACTAAAATCCCAAAAGAAGACATCCAGTTCATATGCAAGCAGCTTACATTAAGTCGAGTAGATTGATTAAGTAATGCCTTCTTTCGAATAGTGTTTTCATCAAACTGCATCGTGATACACATTTGCAATGTACTCAGGAGGGGAAGGTGTCAAACTTTTTGATACATTGTTTACTCACCAAAAAGAGGATGCGGAAGTTGGACAGGTCCCCGAAGAAGTCCTCCACGCTGAGGACTTGTGGGTCGAAGGCAAAATAACTACCCGTGTTCTCGTAGAGCTTCTGCATGTTCTTGTGCATGATGGACAGCTTCTCGTACTGCTCCCGTGCATGCTTGCAGAAGCCGTGAGAGGGACACGGTTAAGGAAAAAAGGGAACAATGGGGACTTGATGTGATGGTGGAAAACCCTACTCTCACACTCACTAAAATAAATGGACTGGTAAGTAAACAAAGTGAGTATGACGATAGTTGAACATTAAATGCTGCAGAAGTCAAACATAAATAAATCAACCGCTATTTTTATGTAAATCCTCAAATCATCAAACATGAAACTCTTACTATCACAACACAGCACATATCAGCTCACCAGTCAGCGGCTAAGCAACTAGCATGAGAAGCAAATGTCATTGGACGGCATTATTAAAAAAGTAACACTTGTCAGTCATTTACAGAGCTGTTGGCAATCATCTGCAACCATAAAGACACTCAAACATTTGCAAGACAAAAGCACTGAGACAAAACTGGAGTCGCTTCTACTCTGAATGCATCTGCTTCAAGGTAAATTCAGTTGCTAAAAGCCTCAAAATGGCTGGCTAAAATGAAGGCTACTTAGAGTACTGTGTTGAACCATTGTGGCATGTTTCTCACCAAAATGTTTCTTGAATTCTAAATTGCAAGATATTCCAGCATTACGGTATCATTGTATGACAACGCTACAATCAATGTGAAGTGGCACCTGTGTCAAGGTCAACAGAGACAGGGGCATATCAAAAACAGAGACACTCAAACGTCATAACAATCACCCCTCCATCATACTTTGGAGTCAATGGCACAGTGAGCTAATAGCCGCAGCAGTGCACCATTGGAAAGGGTGTGTTGCGGTCAGCGGCATGAAACACACGGCTGCAGCAGGAGCTGATTGGAGTCATTGTTCTATTGTTTCTCCCAACAACAGCAGGGTCAGGTTGTTTTGAACCTGGCCGCTCATGCCGCACTGTGTAATTTACTGAACAGGCGCGCCACTTTTCTCCCGGTGAATGGCTATTGACAGCCAACATCAGTTAAGCATTATCGCAGCAGCCACCTGACCTCGGCGAAACTCGCGCTTGGACACTTGGAAGCCTCAAAGGGAACGGCCGCAAACAGTACAGGGAAGGCTCAAAGATCATCGCTGTGATCAGCTACTGCTGTAGATCTGATGAAAGGATCATGGCAAATGTAATTATTCACTCCATGCAACCTACGGATGCAAAAGAAATGTACCTGCTACACTTGGTGTTCAAAGTAACAGCAAAGTGTTAAAACACATCTGGTCCCCGTGAGCAAAGGAAGGGCCAGAGCTCAGATTCAAAGCCAAAACATCAGAAGTGCGAGGCACACTTGCTAACAACAAGGCCACCCTGCTGCGCATTCATTATTCCATTACACAAAATGGAAAATTTGGATCACCCGTGAATCCAATCCACTCTTTCTGAGAAGTGCTTCACATCTGTATTGAATGGCAACTTGACAATTTGCAGCCCGGGACCGTTGGGCTACACTCGACTGCTATTATCTTGAGCACTGTACGTCGCTGATGGTGTAGTGGTGTACTTGCCTGACTTCCAAGCAGCATGGGTTCGATTTGCACCTGGTGAGGGTTTGAGTCTGAGGGCACTATTTGTTGTGCCCAGCGCAAGCGCGGCAAGTGCTAACTGTTTTCACTTTTGGTATTTTCATTGATAGGGGATGGTACAGAGGGGTATTTGCGACATTGTGGGAGTGAACACAGCCAGCTTGTTTCGCAGCAAGTGGAAGGAGCCTCCCGCATTACCTTAAAATTCAGTGCAGTCGCGGCATACGCAGTCTGTAGCATTGCAGGAGCAGAAATTCATTCATAATAAGCAACTGCAAGCAGAGCTCCTCAGGTCACAGATGTTAAGTGGACACTTGGAGAACACTTTCCACTCCCGTCCTTTGTGTCTCTCTGTGTTCATGCAGAATGTTACATTATCACATAGTAGCCGACCTTCCATCATATGCATAGAAACACGGGTCTATGCAATATGAATTATGTTAATTATCAGCATGTGGTTTGTTGACTTTTGGCCAGAAAGGTGGGGCTCTAGTGATTTTGACCATTTATCATTTGATGAAGTAAATGCTCAGGAAGTGAGTCCCATGTATTTTTAAATAACTGATGTAAATCATTCAGGAATATGCCTGTGTTATATCTGTGGACTTAAATGAGCCTTGTACTGTATGGTACCTTTGTTTTCATGCATAAAAGGGGAGAGCAGGATGGCTGGGTTAGATCTTGCAAGCCACCCTAGCACAGGATGGTACATTCCAGGTGAGTGAAAAGCACCCCTGCTTCTTCGGACATGATTTATCATCCCTGCTTCTATCAGGCACTTTTATTTCTTTCTTGGTACACCTCCCTTGACCTTCATTTGAAAGCTCTCTAGAAGAAGCAAACAGACAGTGAAGGGCAGCATGACTGAACTCCTTGGGGGGGGGGGGGGGGG